CATGTGCATACACACCAGTACTGGGTCTTGAACTCAGGGACTGGTCACTGTTCCTTGCAGACACTACACTTGAGCCACAGCTCTTTGTATGGTTTTTTTTTCTTTTTGGATAAAACTGGAGATAAAGACTTTCTTGCCTGGGCTAGCTACAAACTGTAGATCTCCAGATCTCCACCTTCTGAGTAGCTAAGACTTACAGGTGTCAGCTACTGGCATCCAGCTTACTTTAAAATTATTTTATTCAGAAATTTCCACTCATTTCCTTTTTCTTTTTCTGCCAGTCTTGGGGCATGAATGCTGGGACACTGTCCCTGAAAATTTTTTCTTTTTTGCTCAAGGGTAGCACTCTACCACTTGAGCCATAGCTCCATTTGAGCATCAGCTCTACTTCCAGATTTTCAGTATTTCATTGTAGCTAATAATGTCATGCACTTTCCTGCCTGAGCTGGTTTTGAATCATGATCCTCAGATCTCAACTTCCTGAATAGCAAGGTGTGAACAACTGGCACCTGGCCCACTCTCATTTTCTAATCACCTGTTGAAAGTCCTACTTCATTGCCCTTGTAGTAGAACTGGGTGAATTTAGGAGACACAAACATCCAGATCATAGTAAAAATCAAGAGTTCTGTTTCTGGCAGCTGAGTTGGAGATGTCTAGTAGCCACCCAAGTATAGAGGGTGACATGGCAATTAGACATAAGCCTCTGGAGAATGATATACCTGCCCATGGTGTTATTTTGGATGCTGTTGACCCATGTTGAGAATATTGCCATGGTAAAGATCACAAAGGATTTATGTAGGTAGAAAACAGGAGAAAATGCAAGGACTGAGCTGAGATGCACCCCTATATTAGATTAGAAGATGCTGAATATAGTGGCACACACCTGTCATCCCAGCTTCATGGTGGGTACAGGTAAAAGGATCACAGTCTAAGGCTGGCCCAGGGCAAAATGTGGGCGACCTAACTGAAAACAGCTAGAATAGGTCTGGGGCATGCCTCAAGTAATAGAATGCCTGCCTAGTAACTGAAGCCATCAGTTCAAGGCCTATCAAAATAAATAATAAAATTTAAAATACAAAGCCAGGCACTGGTGGCTCACGCCTGCAATCCTAGCTACTCAGGAGACTGAGATGAGAGGATCACAGTTCAAAACCAGCGGAGGCAGGAAAGACTGTGAGACTCTTATCTCTAATTAACTCCAAGAAAACCAGAAGTGGCACTGTGGCTCAAGGTGGTAGAGTGCTTGCTTTGAGCTGAAGAGCTCAGGGATAGTATCAGGCCCAGAGTTCAAGCCCCACAACTGACAAAACAAAAAAAACAAAAAGACAAACAACAAAAAATCTTAAAATATAAAGATCCATAGAAATGTAGAGGGCTCAGTGGTAGAGCGCTTGCCTTGCATGGTTGAGACCCTGGGTTCGATTCCTCAGTACCACATAAGCAAAAAAGAAAAAAGCCGGAAGTGGCGCTATGGCTCAAGTGGTAGAGCGCTAGCCTTGAGCTGAAGAGCTGAGGGACAGCGCCCAGGCCCAGAGTTCAGGCCCCATGACTGGACCAAAAAAAATAAATAAATAAATAAATAAAATAAATAAATAATGTAGAGGGCTGGGAATGTGGTTCAGTGGTAGAGTGCTTGCCTTGCATTAATGAAACCCTGGGTTCGATTCCTCAGTACCACATACACAGAAAAAGCGGGAAGTGGTGCTGTGGCCGAAGTGGTAGAGTACTAACCTTGAGCAAAAAAAGCAGCTTAGGGACAGTGCACAGGCCCAGAGTTCAAGCCCCTGGAGTGGAAAAATAAATGCAGCTAACATCTTGTAAAGGAGCTGGGTGTGGTGGTGCACGTGTAATCTTAGCACTTGGGAGGCTTTCTCACAGCTGGCACTCTAGCATTTGTACTATGTCCCTGGTCCTTGAATGCTTTAAGTCCAGGTAACTAGTCATTCCTATCCAAGCTCTGACAGTAGCTTCCCATCTCGGGGTCTTTGCTGTTTGTTCTGTGTAGAATAACTCCCTGCCTCCTCCTCTCATTCTCCAACTTTGCACATATTGTTCTCCAATTTTTATCACCCAGAGACATGTCTGCACTAGCAGACATCTGGAATGATAGGACAGCTACACGGACAGAAAGCTCCATGTGGACACATCACACCTTTGTTGCTCACTGCAGTGCTCATAACTAGTACTAAAATGTGGGCACTGGTGAAAGTTGACTAGATGAAGAGAGGAAGAATGAAATATCTGAGTCATGGGTAAGGTGCGGAGGGACTTTCTAGAAGTGCAGTACTGCCATTTTGGACAAATCCCAGCTCCCATGAATTAGATAAGACTCCCATGTTAGATAACATATGGTAAGAATGTCCTTAGAATTGCTTCACTGACACGCTACTACATAGCTATCTTGAATCAGTAGGCCTCTCCGAACTTAGCTACAGCTCTTACTGCTAATAAACAAGTTCACATCTTCACTTTGGCCTTGCTCAACCAAGAATTATTGTTGAAACAAAAATATTAAGAGCCAAGATTGAGCAAAAAAGCCAAACAAGAGTGACAGGCATGGAGTTCAAGGCCTTGACCAGCATCAAAAACAAAACAAACACACACACACAAAACCAGCCAAAAGATTACTCATTGCTACTAATTAGCTCAAAAAGTGCCAAAGTACATTGTAAAATAAATGTTTTATACTTGTATATTTAAAGGATATTATCAAACTCAAACAGTTTGCCACAAATCAGCTGTGAGCCAGAAAAAGTCACTGATATTTACATTATCGTTAAGTATTTTAATAAACTAAAATGTTTATATATATTAACTAAAAACAAATTTTTATTCTTAGAAGAAAAACAGAGTACTGGATTCCATATAGAGATGATTTGCGAGGTCCACAGCTTTGAATGGTATTTAAATTCAGGTTCTGCATCATATGGTTGAGTCTCCTTGGTTTTCTATTCTACAAAAAAATTGTTTTAGAATTGCCCATTTAAAAAGATTATTTAAGCTGGGCACTGGTGGCTCACGCCTGCAATCCTAGCTACTCAGAAGGCTGAGATCTGAGGATCATGGTTCAAAGCCAGCCCGGGCAGAAAGTCCAGTTAACCACCAGAAAAAGTGATAGAGTGCTAGTCTTGAGCTGAAGAGCTGAGGGACAGTATCCAGGACGAGTTCAAGCCCCACGACTGACCAAGAAAAAAAAAAAAAAAAAGACTAGCCAGGCTGGGCATCAGTGGCTCACGCCTGTAATCCTAGCTACTAAGGAGGCTGAGATCTGAGGATCGTGGTTCAAAGCCAGCCCAGGCAGGAAAGTCCATGAGACTCTTCAATAAACCACCAGAAAACCGGAAGTGGCACTGTGGCTCAAGTAGTAGAGCACTAGCCTTGAGCTGAAGAGCTCAGGGACAGCGCCCAGGCTGAGTTCAAGCCCCACGACCAACACCCCCCCCCCAAAAAAAATTATCTAGCCTAGCAGAGGTGGCTCACATCTACAATTCTAGCTACCCAAGAGGCTGAGATCTAAGGATCCTGGTTCCTTTCCAAAAAGGAAAGTGTATGAGTGATTTTCAATTAACCATCAAAAGCCAAAAATAGAGCTGTGGCTCAAGTGGTAGAATGCTAGCCTTGAACACAAAAGCACCCTGGCTCTGAGTTCAAACCCGGGACCAGCACCCCAAAAAAACTGTCTAGAGATTAAACAAAATATTTAAGTTGGAAGCACTTGTTACTGTGTATTCAGTAAATGTTTAAAACAATGAACAGAAATGTTACAGCATTATAGTAAAGTTTGCAAAATAAGACAATCCTCACTCAGGGTGTGTTTTATAAAAGTAAATTTTAGAGCAATTGGACTAGACAACAGAATAAATCCCCATCTACAGTACAATGAAAAATATGTAATTTCAAGAGTCTACACTGGCTGGTGGCTCAGGCCTGTAATCTTTAGCTACTCAGAAGGCTGAGATCTGAGGATCATGGCTCAAAGCCAGATTGAGCAAGAAAGACTGAGACTTTTAACTTCAATGAACCACTAAAAAACAGGAAGTGGAAGTGTAGCTCAAGTGGTAGAATACCATCCATGAGCAAAAAAGCCAGGAGTGCTCAGGCACTGAGTTCAAGCCCCATTACTAGCACATATACACACAAAAAAACTATTTCAAAAGGAAAAGGATGAAGGGATAGAGACATGGCTCAGGTTGTAGAAGGTCAGTGAATGAGCAAGAGTGTCAAATCAAGAGTCTGAATCCCAGTCTCAGACACAAAACAAAGGATGACACGTTGACAATGGCTAGCTGTAATTGGCTGTAAAATGTATTAATCATTTAAAAGGGAGAATTTTGCTCACATGATTTCTGTGAGAGTGGGAAAGCCCTCCTTGTCACCAGCCACTTCTTTTCCAAGCTGCACAGCATCAGCCACAGCACCAAGTGGTGCAGCTAAGCCTGCCAGATCTGCACTCAGCCACAGCACATTCCAATCACCCAAGCTGACTGGAGATGCAGCTCTTACCACTTGTCTGGAGGGAAGCATGCGCACAGCTCTGCACTGTGATTCTCTGAGTCTTGGTGGGCATACCTGCCTCTTTCTTGTGGGAGCTTGTCTTCAATAGGGTAGCACTGTGGATAAAACTCATTTCTGTAGACCTCAACACAAGGGTTGTGTCCATTTTCAATATATTTTCTTGACAATTAGATACCAGGATAAGACTTAAATTTAATATAAAGACTTTTGAAAAGGAACCAATCTGGAAAACTTAGCAAGTTATCAAAACAAAGGTTTTGCTTTTTTCACAGTGGATGTACAATATCATATGGTTGGCCATTGTTTCTTCTCCAGGTGGAAAGGTAAAGCAAGAAATACAGCAAGTAAGTCATTATAAATTCAGTAATTTTTAAAACACTTAAAAAAAGAGACAAAGTTAGAAAAAGTGCAATTGAATAAACCAATCATAAAAACCCATTTTTCAACAGCGAGAGAAATTTAAATATGAACCACGTGAGATGACGTCAAGTAATTATTCTTTATTTGCTGGGAATAGTTGTAGTTTGGTTTTTCATAAGGCCTATCTGTTAAAGATACAAACAAAAGTATCATAAGTGAAATAGTTGTGAGATACGCTTTATTCCAGGTTAGAAAAAACCCTGTAAAGCTATGAGGACTGTGGGCAGATAGAAACATGATCAAACAAAGTGTTCAACATGTCTGCTGATGTGGACCAAATGAAGTAATGGAATCTCACATCCTCCCTAAGGAGCACTGTTGTGGTGTGCCATGCAGACTGAACCTGCTTGTCAACAATGGGGAAGGAAGGGGACAAATGACAAAGAGGGCGAGCTGGAAAGAACTGTGAAATCACAGAATTTTCTACAACTCGGGGGAGGCAGAGTGAGCATTATCATTCTAGGTCAGAACTGATGTTTCATGAGCACAGAAGATAAATGTGAATGAAATGTGAATGGAAAGTTCCTTCTATGCCAGGTCTGAGGTCACTACCTATCTCCCCCCTGCTTCTTTCCTATGATAGCATAGCACCAGAAACTATATTTTCAATATGCAAAATACTCAGGGGTATTATTGTTCTACTCTTTAAATAAAGCATGTTTGTGCTAAATGCATCTTTATGCAGACAGGACATTTTCATGGAGTTAACAGAAGTCCAAGTGAATTAAGCTACTCGGATAAGAAATAAAACTGGAAGCTCAATGGCTTACATCTACAAACTTGGGGGGGGGCCGAGATCAGGAGGATCACGGTTGAAGAACAGCCAGGGCAAAAAGCTGGTGACACCCCAATAAAACTGAACCAATAAAAGCTGGGCATAGTGGTGTGTGCATCATCCCAACTAAGTGGGAAGTATAAATAAAAGGACAGCAAGCTAGGCCAGTCCAAAAATAGTGAGAACAAAAAGGCCTCGGGGTGTGGCTCAAGTTGTAGAGCAACTGCCTAGCAAAACAGAAGGCCTTGAGTTCAAACCACAGTACTGAGAAAACAAAAACAACAGCAACTAAGATTGCATCCACTGCTTGGATGACTCATGAACAGTTATATGTATTATTTTGTGGCCAACTTGATATTCCAACCACATAAAAAAAGGCATTCTACTTCTTTATTTTTTTATTTGACAAGCAGCAATATCATGTTTGTCATTTTAATGTAGATACAATTATTAGGTTATCTGTCATATTACAATATTTAAGTTCTTATTTTATGTCCTTTAAGATACATTAAAAAAAAAAACACATCAACTGCAAACGTGAAGGGGAGAAAAAGCATGGTACCCAACCAAATTTCCACATTTCAGCAATACTTCACTCATTCTTTAATAAAGTTTTAAGAAATGTCGTGATGACATGAGCTGGAAATATCTCTAGGCATTTTCTTTGACGCTCATGACGTGGCACTGGTGATGTTGTAAACAGCAGAAAACAGGGGCTGCCAAATGACCAAATTATGGAGGCACAGGCCTGCTTTTTCCCACAGGAACACACCGAATGGTGATGGCAATGATCTTCTCACATCCACATGGGGGACAGTGGCATCAAGCGACATAGCTGTATTCATCTGCGGATGCTTGGCTGCGCTCAATGTACTGTTTGTCTATCAGAACTTCAATACATTTCTTAATCATGCTGATACTGGGATTAAACCTAGCTCTTGATTGACTAATCACCTGTATAGTAAGAGACACAGGAAGTCAAGCTACTGTAAATTATTCAACTATAACTAACCACTTCCAACCAATCAGCTGAAAGGCAGCTCAAACTGCTTTGAGATGTTTCAACAAACAGACCTAATCCAATAGTTTTATTATTTTGTGTGATTATGTGTGTGTGTGTCTGTGTATACACACACACACACCAGTCCTGGGCTTGAACTCAGGGCCTGGGGGCTGTCATGAGATTTTGTGTTCAAGGCCAATGCTCTACCATTTCCAGCTTTTTGGGTGCTTAAGTGGAGATAAGAGTCTTACAGGCTTTCCTGCCCAAGCTGGCTTTGAACTGTGATCCTTAGATCTCAGCCTCCTAAGTAGCTAGGCTTACAAGCATGAGCCACTGGTGCCTATAGCTCAATAGGATACGTATGAAATTATATTAATTAAGCTACTGAAAAGATAAAATGAGTAAACCTGCTACAGCAAGTGAGTAAGTACTGTGGACACTCTTAAATTGTTTACACAAAGCAAGGCAGGGTACAGGGAGAGAGAGAATCAGATCTAGTCAGCTTGACATGAAGGTCAAAAACATATTTTTAGTTCAAAGTAAGGGACAAAATTCTATTGCTTTTATTGTGAAGGAATAAAAGTGCAGAATGTAGATATGGCAAAATCAAATAATGTCTGTGCATAATTCATGACACTATAAATTAATATACCAAAATAAACATTCTGTGAATTTAAATTCCCTTTTAGCACCAGCTCCCAGTATCTGTACATCAAGATTTCTATACACATACCCATGGAGGTGTGTGCATGCTGTATGGTATATGTTTTGTTGCACAGTACTTCAATTGTGTGTACTTGTTCCCTATTAATGTCACTTCCACAAGAGCTGCTACATCCCAAGCCCTCTGCACTGCTCAGGGAATTATATACAGAAAAAAATGACTGCTTCCTTCAATAACTGGTCAAGAGAGTTTTTATTCACGTATCCTGAGAGTAGTAAATGTTCCTCTTTTTTCCTCATTTTCCCCTACTTTATTCTATTTGAAAATATAACCTTACTAAAATAAATTAAAAAACAACACCAAAGCCCAGCACTGGTGGCTCAGGCCTGTAATTCTTGCTACTTAGGGAGCTGAGATCTGAGGATCATGGTACAGAAGTAGGCTGGGCAGGAGAGTCAGCCTTGAGATTCATATCTCCAAATATCCACCAGAAAATCAGTGGCACTGTGGCTCAAAGTGGTAGAGCATTAGCCCTGAGCAGAAGAGTTCAGGGATAGCACCCAGGCCCTGAGTTCAAGCCCCATGACCAACAACAAACAAACAAGAGATTAAATAAATTGGCTAGGTTAAGATCTCTAAATGAAAGCCAAAGCAAATTTTACTTTAAACCCTGAAATTGTATGTGAGTACTGTTCTCCTAGCATCAACAGTACCCCTCCCTTAAGTATTGAGGACTTCCTCTTCTTACCTCTTGAATAAGGGCATTGTGCCGAAGCACTTTCCGTGCTTTCATTATACGCACTATAGCAGCCTGGAGATACATTTTCCGGTCCTCATCTACAGCACTTCTAGTCTGCTCCATTTCCTGTTTTATACACAAAAAATAGCAGATAAGACACTCAGTGGACTTTTTTTTGTGTATGTGAAAATACTGTACAGAGGGGTTACAATTACTTGGCAAGATAATGAGTACATTTCTTATCAAGCATTGTAGCTTCCTTTGTTTCCCCTTCTCATCCTCCCCCAATCCTCCCTCCCCCCCCCACCAAAGTTGTAAAGTTCGTTTTCGACATAACGACTTGTACATCTCATTGTTGCAATGGGTCCACCTGTATCCCTATTTAAACAATTTGTTTTTTTCCCTTCCCCTCCACAAATTATACCGACATCAAATACAGTGAAAGCAGGGGTTATACTGTGGGGGAGGGATCATTGAACTTTTTTAAATTTATCAGTGAGTTAATAAAAATTTTAACCTATGGGGCTGGGAAGGTGGCTCAGTGGTAGAGCGCTTGCCTTGCATGCCTGAGGCCCTGGGTTCGATTCCTCAGCACCACATAAGAAAAAAGAAAAAAGCCGGAAGTGGCGCTGTGGCTCAAGTGGTAGAGTGCTAGCCTTGAGCTGAAGAGCTGAAGGACAGCGCCCAGGCCCAGAGTTCAGGCCCCACAACCGGACACCCCCCCCAAAAAAAAAATTTTAACCTATACTGAGGATCATATTTATATACTAGGCTATGTCTAATGTCATATAACCAATGTTTACATTGGGTTACATTTATTTTGTATTAGAAGGTTATTTTTAAATGTACACTACTATAATTAACTATATGGATAATATAAATGGCAGTAAGCAGGATGTTAGCAATGAAGAACAATAAATTTCAAGACCTATCAATGATTACAAACTGTGTCACAATGCTGTTAGATATGATTACAGCAAGTGCAGTGACAGGTCCTGAGTGCAAACTGGCTGGGGCTATGCGGGACTGAGTTCTGTCTGGCTCAGAGCTGCTACCAGGAAGAATGGGACAGAAATAAGCTATCTCCACAAAGCTGAGAAGCACAGAAAAGCAAGGCAGAGGAATAGGAGCAGGGATCCCATGAGAGCTTTTGGGCCTAATCCAATCCATGCATACTGATTGTTATTTTTTAGCTTGCAGAATCACTGTAGAGTTCAAAGTTCACAGTAATGAATGCACAAGTATTTTCTCTTGCAGGACAATAAGTTCTTGGAAAGAGAATGATATTTAATATACCTTCATATTCTACCTTGAGATTCGGGACTGAACACAGGAGCCAATGGCACAATCTGTCCCCCACCAAAGCAATAATCTCTGCCAAACTAAAAGAATCAAGAACTACTCACACCAGCTCATCGACTCCTTTTGTTTTTTGTTTTTAGTGCTTGTCCTGGGTTGTCACTGAGAACCTCGCTCTTTTTTCTTCCTTCCCTCCCTCCTTTCCTTCCTTCTTCTCTTCCTCCCTTCCTCTTTCTCTTCTCCTCTCTCAGAGCCTAGCACTCTACCGCTTGAGCTACAGCTTTACTTCCAGCTTTTATTTTTTGGTGGTTAATTGGAAGCGAAAGTCTCACAGATTTTCCTGCCCAGGATGGCTTTAAACAGCAATCCTAAAATCTTACCAATTTGAGTATGTAGAATTACAGGTGTGAACCACGGGGGCCAGCCCAAATTATTCCTTTTTAAAAACTACATCACTGGCAAAGATTTCTACTTACATCAAGGTTGCCAAATACAAAGAATAAACCAGCAACCAGCATAGATGCACCATATTATTAATCTGCATATACAAAACTTTGTATCATTTCAGCATAAACTGGACTTAGAAAGTTATAAAGTTCAATGTTTAAATATTTCTAAAACAAAAAGCATTCAAAAGCACTTGCCTGTGGTGTGTCTTTCTGCATTGATGTAGTAATTTTAAATTTTGTTCTTTTACTGCTGAAGTTCATATTTAATGAAAATGAAGAGTCTGCATCGATGTCTTCCTAAATTTAAAAATACATTTACAAAAAGAATTTACTGCATATATAAAATGATCAAGCATAAAACTAAACTCATCATCTCTAACATTATGAAGATATTCAATTTCAGTAGAAGTAATCATTTTCTGCTTAATAAACAAGCAAAAAGCAATTCCATTTGGGAGGGATGGGGAAGGATGAAAGGGATGACATTGATCAAGATGTATTACAATCAAAAACTGATTGGTTCAATTGTAACTCCTTTATACAACTACTGAAATACATCTAAATATACTTTAAAGCAATTTCACTACCTTTGCTTATTAAAGTGAATAGGATTTAACATTATAATTTTTATAAAATATCAAGGCTTACAACTTTTCTATTGCCCTGTTTTGAAAAAACACCAACCAATCTTGTTCCATTTTTTGAAATGGAATAAAGAAACCTTTGGGGGATGCTATTTTTTAGAGGAGGGAGACAATGAGGGATGCAATGGATTGGAATACAGTGTAAACATGTAAAGCTGTAACAATGGACCCTTCTCATAATGCATATAAGCCAATTTAAATAATTACCAAAAAGATATATATTCACTGAAGAAAAATGCTGCAGTAACAAAATATTTCTGGGTCCCCAGGACTGCAGAGGGTGAAGATAGGAAGATCTCCTGACGAGAAGAGAGCTCTGTTTCTAATAGCACAAAGCACTAATGCTCCATGACCCTCGTATGATGAGACTGACCCTCCAGTCATGGTTTATTTGTTCTTTAGAACAACAATTTCTGCCACAGGTTTAAGAAAGTCTCATAGCTGGGTGCCAGTGCACACCTGTAATCCTAGCTACTCAGGAAGCTGAGATCTGAGGATCGTGGTTCAAAGTCAGCCCAGGCAGGAAAGTCTGTGAAACTCTTATCTCCAATAAACTATTCAGAAAAAGCTGAAAGTGGCTCTGTGGCTCAAGTGGTAGAGTGCTATCCTTGAGCACAAAGAGGTTCAGGGACAGAGTCCAGCCCTGAATTCAAGCTCCAGAACTGGCCAAAAAAAAAAAAAGCCTCTTATATCACCCCTTAGTTTATACCAGTATGTGTTTCACTGGAAAGTGAGGTGGGGGAAAACCCTACAATGCTTGCGATGCACAGATCATGCTGAACTCATTTTTCATGTAATATCACCCAGTTTCTCCTAAGAACACTGTACCTATCAACAAATCTCAGATTTGCAGTTCAGCACTTCAATAAAACACATTCACTTCTACCTTGCTTTGTAGGTACCACGTGCTATTTGGGAAACACCCAGCAGCTCATACCATGATTTAAACACCTGACAATAACTGACAGAGCTTCTCTGCATACCGAGCCATGTGATACAGGAGTGGGAATTGGAATTTTCTGCTCTTTGAAATTTTTATCATCTTCTTAAGTTTCTTACTATTTTTAATGGTGCTTGTTCAAAACGCATGTAATTAATCTGCAAATAAGGCAGACTTATTGCAGCAGAATTTCTCTACCAGCAGGATTAATTAAGAAGCACATGCCTGATGGATCAATTCTCAGAGATAACCGAAGAAATTCTAGTAAGGAAAAGTACAAGAAAGCACTCTATATTGTCTTTTGTAAATATCTGGGCAAAACTATGTTTTAAGATAAAGCACTTAGTTGTTAAACAATAAAATGAACCAATTTTAATAACTAAGATATCAACATTAAGAACTTAATATTCTGCTAAGATTTGAAGACAGAAAATAATTTCTCAAAATGAAGAAAATTAAAAGAAATTTTAAGTTAAGAAAAGACTTTTGCAATCTACAGTTTTTCCATTAAGGCTAAAAAAAAGGAATGCTGAGAAAAATGAATAAATGAGAAAATCAATCATCTTCTCAATAAAAATGAAACAGGCTCATGCCTGTAATCCTAGCAATTTAGGAGGCTGAGAGCTGAGGATTGCAGTTCAAAGCCAGCCAGGCAAGAAAGTCCATGATAATTCCAATTAAGCACCAAAAAAAACAGAAGTGGAACTGTGGCTCAAGTGGTAGAGCACTAGCTTTGAACAAAGGAAACTCATGGACAGTGCCTAGGCACCTGAGTTCAAGACCCAAGATCAGCACCCAAAAATAAATAAATAAATAAATAAAAATTTTAAAAAGGGAAACGGTCATTCTCTCCCTAAAATGACCTACTTTGTCTATTCAAAGCCTATTCCTTTCCAAGTAAACTCCCATATCATCTTCACTACAAAAAAAAATTAAATGAAACATCACTTATAAGAATCTTTTCTTGGGCTGGGAAGGTGGCTCAGTGGTAGAGCGCTTGCCTTGCATGCATGAGGCCCTGGGTTCAATTCCTCAGCACCACATAAGCAGGAAAAAAAAAAGCCGGAAGTGGTGCTGTGGCTCAAGTGGTAGAAGGCTAGCCTTGAGCTTAAGAGCTGGGGGACAGCACCCAGGCCCAGAGTTCAGGCCCCACGACCGGACCTTTACGTCAGATGGGTAATGTGCCCGCATCATAATAAGATTCAGAGGGAGGCACAAATCACACAAGTGCTTGAGAACCCAATCATCACGCTTATGAACCAGAAAAGGATCAAAAGAATCTTTTCTTATAAGTACAATAATCTGAAATTATCCATCCCACATTTGTTTTTTAAATCACTTAGCAGTGAGACATACAACAACAACTTGTTGCTAGAAAAAGAGTCACAAAGAAAAGAAGAAATACAAAATTGGCTTGTTATACTTATGAAGGCTATTAAAAAATACATGGTGATTAACTATAACCAAACATTAAGGTTCTTGAGAGTATCTGGCATGGAACCCCACGTGAAAAATATGTGCACATGTGGACCTTATTTAACAACTAAATACATGGAGGAAACAACAGGGGGTGGAGGGAGAGGCTAGTTTAAAATCCCCAGAATCTTTAGGTAGTGATCCTTTTACAAGTTTTCAGTCAGCTATCCTAGTGTAGGACAAATAAATGAAACCAGTAGAGGCACTTAGGCAGTGCTCTCTTTGACTCCAGAAGCTCTAGCTGGTAGAACTATAGCTGATTCACACACCTTCCAAAGCACAAAGGATAAGGTTGGGAAGGTGGCTCAGTGGTAGAGTGCTTGCCTTGCATGCATGAGGCCCTGGGTTCGATTCCTCAGCACCACATAAGAAAAAAGAAAAAAGCCTGAAGTGGTGCTGTGGCTCAAGTGGTAGAGAACTCGCCTTGAGCTGAAGAGCTGAGGGATAGCGCCCAGGCCCAGAGTTCAGGCCTCAAGACCAACCAAAAAAAAAAAGGACAAATTACCCTCCACCCGCCCCCCCGTTTTTGTTTTTACTACAAAGATTCCATGAAAAAGTTTTTCTATTGATGCTTAAAATTCCTCGGGAAAACTACCACATACCTTTTCTGAGTCATGGTTAATCATTTTCACATCTAGTAATGATTTGATTGTTTTGGTCAGCTCCTTTTCATTCATCTGTGTGCTGTCTTGAAGCTCTTTATAGCTGACAGTTTCACTGTTGTTAAAGGCAAGAAGAACTGCCATTTGGTATGTTGTAACCATGGCAACATATGGTTTGCCCAAATAGTTCATTTTAACTTCACCTACAATTTAAATAAAAATTAAGACAGTAAGCCATCTATTCAAAGAAATATTTCAAAATTACATAAGTTATTTCAGCATGTTTTTCTGAACAAGAGAAGGATTATTCGGTGGTGTTTTGGATTGCAGGATGTAGGAATGTTACTAGTTTTGAGTATACAGTAAAACAGTTAACCTATCCTATCTTTGCCAGTGGGCAGAAACAATGTATAAACCCTAAAAAGAAAGTTACACTAATAAGTCTTAGGCAGGAACAATGCTAAACAAGGTAGAAGACAGACAAGGGAGATGATCGTTTGCCAATAGTAATGCCTTGTAACCAGACCTTTTTCTACCTGGTTGGATCTGAACAAAGCTCAAGCATATGGGAGGTGTACACTGGAAAATGCTTCTGGGACATTGTCTAAGCTATAATTCTGCCAAAATTTAACAATGGTATGTCATCATATGTAATTTTCTCATCTCCAACTTTAGAGGCAAACAAGAAGGAGAGACAAATGGGTGGACCCATTCTTTTGTCCAGTATTACAAAAATATTCTAGATTTTAAACTACCATGGGAGCAGGAAAATAAGCAGGTTTTAGTTATTCCACTAATGTGCAGCTTCCCATGGAGACAGCTGCATGACCTTACCACATGGAAAACTTGTAGCAAACAGGATCACAACTATGTACACCTTCTAAAACACTAAAAAGATCAAAGAACTGGGTTCCAATGGCTCACACCTGTAATCCTACTCAGGAGACTGAGATCTGAGGATCAAAGTTTAAAGCCAGCCCAGGCAGGAAAGCTAGTGGATCTCTTATCTTCAATTAACCACCAAAAATCCAAAGTGGAGCTGTGGCTCAAATGGTAGAGTGCTAGCTAGCCTTAAGCAAAAGCAGCTCAGCAATAGTGCCCAGGCCCAAAGTTCAAGTCCCAGGACCAGCATTAAAAAAAAAAAAATCAACTTCGTAAAGGGTGAAGTTGTGGTTATTGATTACAACACATGCACGTGCATGTGCACACACACAAATATATACACAGAGCCTGTGTCACTGGACTATTTAATAGAATATAAATTAAACCAGCATGAGATTTGGTCGGTCATGAGGCTTGAACTCTGGGCCTGGGCACTATTCCTCAGCTCTTCAGCTCAAGGTAAGCGCTCTACCCCTTGAGCCAAAACGCCACTTCCAGTTTTCTGGTGGTTAATTAGAGATAAAGAGTCTCACAGACTTTCTTGCCCAGGCTGGCTTTGAACCATAATCCTCAGATCTCAGCCTCCTGAGTAGCTAGGACTACAGGCATGAGCCACCAGCACCTGGCAAGATTTGATTTTTAAACTCTTCATTTTAACTCAAAGAAGCTGTATTTTAGGGCTGGGAAGGTGGCTCAGTGGTAGAGTGCTTGCCTTGCATGCATGAGGCCCTGGGTTCGATTCCTCAGCACCACATAAGCAAAAAAAGCCAGAAGTGGCGCTGTGGCTCAAGTGGTAGAGCGCTAGCCTTGAGCTGAAGAGCTGAGGGACAGTGCCCAGGCCCAGAGTTCAGGCCCCACGACTGACAAAAAAAAAAAAAAAAAATTATCATTACAAGTTTGGAAAATGTGGTAAGAAGCAAGACATACAGATTGCATTTTAACATTTCTGTAACGCCTACTCAATTACATGTAGGAAAGAAGTCTAACTAAGCAGCAAGTGCCCAGGTGCCTCCAGAGCACCCGTAGCAGGGCGCACCAGAGAAATACACTACTATGCATTAGGCACAGAAATGAGTTTTCTTCCCCACAGAACCCAGTGTTAGGTCATGATGCAACAACAGACCAAAGTGACATTTGTCTAGCATTAAGTTCATTCTACAGTCCTTAAATAGGAAGAAATATCTATTGTGTCTTTTCATACTGTTTTTCAATAAGTTTTCATGGATCAGAAATGGGAGCTCCTCCCACCCCCATCAGCACACAGCTAGGAAACCCCCAACCTGAATGAGTCACTTAAATACTGCCAGGGAAACACAAAATGGAAATGATAAGAGTGCTAACTTAACTTGCTATGACAAAAGACATGAAAAGAAAAATAGGAGATGGTGGAGAACAAGGAGGGGGTGACACTGATCAAGATGTATTATACTCATACATTCACATGCTCAATTGAAACCTCCTTCTATACAGCAGACAGCTGTGCACTGTTGGCTCACACTTGTAATCCTAGCTTTTCAGGGGACTGAAATATGTGGGTCATGGTTCCAAGTCAGCCCAGGCAGGAAAATCCATGAAACTATTATCTCAATAAAATTACCCAGAAAAAAGCCAGAAGTGGTGCTGTGGCTCAAGCAGTAGAGTGCTAGGCTTGAGCACAGAGAAGCTCGGGGCTAGTACCTAGACCTGAGCTCAAGCCCCAGGACTGGCAAAAAAAAGATAGGGCAGAGCAGACAAATCCATGAAACTTGTATCTCCAACTACCCAGTAAAAAGCTGGAAGTAGAAGTGTGGCTCAAGTGGTAGTGAGCCAGCCATGAGCATAAAATGTCCATATGAGACAAGTCCTAATACAAGTACACATGTGCACAGGTACACAGTTCAAGATGCAAATAACTAGTCTAATTTTTGCAAGTTTCAAGGCACTCCTCATGTCATCTCCCTGCTCTTACAGAGCTTCCTTACAGATTATCTGTCACCTAAATAACGTTTAAGCAATGATAGATATTGCCATTCCCAACCAGTAGCAAAATACCTGAGCCAGTCAAGGATACATTAGGTAAGCCTGTTCCTGGAACAGGGTATTTATATGTGATGTCTGACTCAGATTCCCTAACTGAAACAAAGAAAGAGGACTTTTTAAAATGCAGGTATCAGCCGGAAGCCGGTGGCTCATGCCTATAATCCTACCTACTCAGGAGGCTGAGATCTGAGGATCACGGTTCAAAGCCAGCCTGGGCAGCAAAGTCCATGAAACTCTTATATCCAATAAACCACTCGAATACTGGAAGCGGTGCTGTAGCTCAAGCAGTAGAGCGCTCGCCTTGAGCTGAAGAGTGCAAGGACGGCACCCAAGCCCAGAGTTCAAGCCTCACAATGGACCAAAAAAAATAAAATAAAATGCAGGTATCTGGTGGTAAGCACCTTACATTCATGGTCATATTCACCATGTCTCATGGTTAAAGAATCTGAGTTTACATGCCAATATAGACAATGCAATAAATGCTTTTTTGCTCATTATTTTGGAAATGGAGTCTGGAAAACTTTTCTGCCCAGAGATCCTGCAGATCTCTGCCTCCTGAGTAACTAGGATTACAGGCATGAACCACCGACTCCCAAGCAAGCACTAGGAAGTATTACTGCCAGTAACACTAAGTCTGAATATAAATATAATCAAATCCTGGGACCTACATACTTCACAGAATGCACAGGAAAAAGAAAACAAAGGCATCACAAATATAAAAGTATTAATTCAAGCAATGAGTACTCTACAAAACAATTTAACCTGGGCTTTTCAAAGTAATGTGCCTGAGTACTGTGGCAAGGGGGGTTTCTGCTCTATTGTCTGGAAAGATCTCTTCAACAGGTATCTGTATCTGCCCACCAAGTTGTTCTCTAAGAGTAATTTTGACCAAAGTGCCTAGTCATAATCCGGTGGAATTTCCAGGTCTTCTCTCCCTATCTGCTCCTCTGATATTGTAGATTGTTCATTTCTTTTTTTTTTGGGGGGGGGGGCCGGTTGGGGGGCCCTGAACTGGGGCCTGGGCCCTGTCCCTCAGCTCTTCAGCTCAAGGCTAGCTCTACCACTTGAGCCACAGTGCCACTTCCGGCTTTTTTCTTTTTGCTTATGTGGTGCTGAGGAAACCCAGGGCCTCAGGCATGCAAGGCAAGCTCTCTACCACTGAGCCACCTTCCCAGCCCCTAGATTGCTCATTTCTGAAAAGGCTTCTACTCATTACTAATACATAGTCCAACCTCTCCTTCCCTGTCATCAGTCCTGTTGGTTCTGGTAAATGGTTTAGAAGTTATCTACCAAGAAGCCTTTCCTTCTTAGTACTATTTCTTTTTGGATTTTTTTTGTTATTGTTTTTGTGCTGGTCCTGGGGCTTGAACTCAGGATCTGGGCACTGTCCTTGAGCTTTTGTGCTCAAGGCTAATGTTCTACCACTTGATCCAAATCTCCATTTCCAGCCTTTTCAGTGGATAATTGGAGATAAAAGTCCTCTGGACTTTACTGTCCAGGACACTTTGAACGCTGATCCTCAGATCTCAGCCTCCTGAGTAACTACGATTACAGGTATGAACCACCAGTGCTTGGGATCCTCCTTGGTACTGTTTGCCACCACCATTCTGTGTGACCCTGGACCAAGTTAGGCCTGCCTCTTATCATATACAACAATAAAACATTGTGCTATTACTACTTACTTTTCTATCTTCTTCAGAGACAAAGAGTTTAGTGAGACAAAAATTTCGTGAGACACTGAAAATGTTCTGTTGGTAAATGATTATATGAGGAACCAGACACAGAAGTGACTTACTCAAGGTTAGAAACCTAGTAAGCAATGAGCTAAAACTATATGCATAAATTCCTTTGTGCTATATACAATTACTTAAGCATTGAAAGTTGAGACATAGTAATTATTGTTGAAGTAATAAGAATAATCAGAATTTAATTCTACAACATAGATACTCAGGGGGCTGGGAAGGTGGCTCAGTGGTAGAGAGCTTGCCTTGCATGCATGAGGCCCTGGGTTCAATTCCTCAGCACCACATAAGAAAAAGAAAAAAGCTGGAAGTGGCGCTGTGGCTCAAGTGGTAGAGCGCTAGCCTTGAGCTGAAGAGCTGAGGGACAGTGCCCAGGCCCAGAGTTCAGGCCCCACGACTGGACCAAAAAAAAAAAAAAAGATAGATAGGAAGCATACAAGCAAATTAAATTCAACAAAACACCAAATTCTCACTAAGCTTCTCTAGCTTGCCAGCTTGCCATCCTCCCACCCACTGTTCCCTACCCCACTTACTTGTATTCCCAACACTTGGGAAGCTAAGGCAAGAAGATTACAAGTAATCTTAACTGTACTTTTTGAAGTTTGGTAAAGAATAGTTGGGCACCTCCTAGCTACTCAGGAGATTGAAATCTGAGGATCAAGGTTCAAAGCCAGACCATGTAGGAAAATCGGTGACCCTCTTATCTCCAAGTAAGCAGCAAAAAGCTGGAAGTGGATAAGTAGCTCAAGTGGTAAAGCGCTAGCCTTACCGGGCTAGTGGCTCACGCCTGTAATCCTAGCTACTCAGGTGGCTGAGATTTGGGGATTTGGGTTCAAAGCCAGCCCGGACAGGAAAGACCATGAGACTCCTATTTCGAATAAACCATCAGAAAACCAGAAGTGGCGCTGTAGCTCAAGTGCTAGAGCACTCGACTTGAGCTGAAGAGCTGATCTCGAATAAACCATCAGAAAACCAGAAGTGGCGAAAAAAAAAAAAAAAAAAAGGGCTAGCCTTGAGCACAAAAGCTCAGGGACAGCACCTAGGCTCTGATTTTAAGCCTGAGAATCAGCACAGGAAAAAAAAAAAAAGAGAGAGGGGCTGGGAAGGTGGCTCAGTGGTAGAGTGCTTGTCTTACATGCATGAGGCCCTGGGTTCGATTCCTCAGCACCACATAAGCAAAAAAAGCCGCAAGTGGCACTGTGACTCAAGTGGTAGAGTGCTAGCCTTGAGCTGAAGAGCTGAGGGACAGCGCCCAGGCCCAGAGTTCAGGCCCACGACCGATTAAAAAAAAAAAAAAGGAGGGGGGAGGGGAGTGTTAAATCTACTGTCAAAACATGGACCTACTACTGCAGAAAAAATAAATAAGTTACCAGAATATGACTAGGGTTTCTCAAATTGGAAACTTGTGAAGTGGGAACTTCCTTGGAAAAAAGTATTTACTACTGCAGTTCATTATAGTATGACAAAATCCCAATGGCTTTGTCTCTCTATGATACAATAATAGTTGTTCAAACTTCCGAAGATACACAGACTATTTAGACACTTGGCTTGTAGGAGTATGTGACCCATTAAGTCTCTATTTCCAAATAATTTTTGTGTGGCTTGAACTCTGGGCCTGGGCGCTGTCCCTGGGCTCTTCAGCTCAAGGCGACTGCTTGAGCCACAGCACCACTTTCGGTTTTCTGGTGGTTTATTGGAGATAAGAGTCTCAGGGACTTTCCTGCCCCAGCTGGCTTTCAACCATGATCCTCAAATCTCAGCTTCCTGAGTAGCTAGGATTACAGGCATGAGCCACTGGTGCCTGGCCCAAATAAATTTTTAACGCCAATAAAGAGTGGTTTGTGCAGGGCACTGGTAGTTCAAGCCCCACGATTGCAAAAATAACAATAATAATTCCCTCTGAGACTCAAAAACTGAAGTGGTGATGTGGCTCAAATTGTAGAGTGGTAGCTGTGAGCATAAAGAGGCTTAGGGACAGCACCTAGGCCCTGGGTTCAAGCCCCACAACCGACCAAATAAAAAGCAGCACAGTTTAAAATACACTGAAGAAAAATGCTGTAACTGAATGTCATTACTTATTGCTTCTATGGTAAAGGCAGATGGAGAAGAAAAGACTATACTTATAATTAGGCTATAGGAAATAAACACAAGTATAAATTTCATCAAATCAATTATAATTAAATGCATTTTACCTGTACAGAGATAATGTAACCATGTAAGTTTCCTTCCACTGAAATGCTGGCTATAAAATAATTCAAACTGCAAAAAAAAGAAAGAAAAGAAAATTGTGTTCAGCTTGTATATAACTTACCTAGTTATCAGCATACTGCAAAGGTATGTTCATGACACTTCCATTTACTATACCTTGTCAACTTACAGGTAAGAAAATGTCTGTAGTCCCTGACCAAGATCATAAGGAGTATTATCCCAAATTTTCTTTTTTTTTTTTCTTTGTCGGTCATGGGCTTTGAACTCTGAGCTCTGTCCCTCAGCTCTTCAGCTCAAGGCTAGCACTCTACCACTTGAGCTACAGCGCCACTTCCGTTTTTCTGGTGGCTTATTGGAGATAAGAGTTTCACGGACTTTCCTGCCTGATCTGGCTTTGAACCTCGATCCTCAGATCTCAGCCTCCTGAGTAGCTAGGATTACAGGCATGAGCCACAGGTGCCTGGCTTCCCAAATTTTCCTGATTGTACTGGCACACAGTTTTAAAACAACCAGCAATCTTCACAAAATCACATTAATGCTCTATGCCTGGGATAGGAGCGCCTTGATTATAGAGGTCCTTATTTGTACATACACATTGAAATCAATTACAAACATGATAAGAGTGGCCAAATGTGCTGGTGTGTACTTATAGTCCCCAGTAAACCTGAAGGCTTAGACCAAAGGTTCCTGGAAGCCCAGAATCCTAGTGGCTGCTCTAGACAAAAAAAAAAAAGGGCAGGGTAACTTGGCACCCAAAAGCAAACAGACACACTGTAGATAATTTATCTTCCTGAATTATTTTTGTTTTGTGGGAAATGGCAACTGCATGTCAGTGATCTATCCTAGCTTTTTTCATCAGACCTTGTAGTTTTTCCATAATACCACAACATTTACAAATCTAATTTTATTGTATAAATTCAGTATGACATCATTTGATGTTAATTTGGCTTTATAAATCCTACTTCCTGACTAAAAACAAAACTATACATTTGGCATGAAAATATAAACCATATCTTCATTGCTCATCCCTTACCCTTTGCCAAAGTGACAAGTTGATTATTATATGTGGCTGCCTATGATTTAATAATTTTTTTTTAAAAAGCCTTGAAGTTCAGAGTACTTTTTGCGGGGGATACTCGTTTGTTGCTATTCTCATGAATAATTAAATTTAACATTCCTTAATGTAGTTGTAACATTTTAAAAGCTTCTCTGGATTGAATGTGTGGGTATGCAACAGAAGTTTCATTTGGAGGAACCAGAGAATGAACTCAAGGCCTCACACTTTCTAGCAAGGTGCTCTACCACTAGAGCCATACCTCCAGTCAGGCAGGATGAAGTCTTAATAGGACACAGTTCACAGTTTTTAAGGAGATAGCACAGGGCCCCATCACCACTGTTCTCCTTCACCCTAAAAAAAAGAGCCAGTATACAGTAGTATATGTAGGAAAATAAAAAGTAAAAAAATACTTTTTATAAAAACTACATTGCTGCCAAGTACCTGTGGCTCATGCCTATAAGCCTAGCTACTCAGTAGGCTAGGATCTGAGGATTGTGGTTCAAAGTCAGCCTATACAAAAAAGTCCCTAAAACTCCCAAGAAGTGGCAGAGCACTAGCCTTGAGCAAAAAAAGTTCAGGGACAATGCCCAGGCATTGAGTTCAAGCCTCAGGACTAGCAAAGAAAAAAGCAAAACAAAAACCCTCAAGATTTCTTTATAAAACTGAAAACAAAAAGAAAAAACTGTATCACATCACAGTTCAGAGATAGGATATAGTTTTAGTATGGTGTTCAAACATACCTACTAAAGCTTTCTCTCTGAAATTTTACCTTTTGTATTTTTAAGAAGTTTAAATAAAACAACACTTGACCTAGCAGCTATACCATGTATCGTCCTTACACCCCAAGTTTACAGATCTAATCAGGAGGCTCAACCACCCTCAGCAGATTAGTCCAAGCTTAGCTTGTCCTGGGAAGTTCAATAGTTGAGTATCTCTACCTTCCACTGGCACAGCATCCTCCACCAGCACATCCACCAAACCCTTTGCGTGATTAATAGGCGATGACTGGCACCTGGGATATTTAAGATGTTTTGCATGGTTCTTAAGCAAACAAGCCAATCAAGACATGTTGCAGAGGGTCCTAGAAGTCTCTTTGACTAATAACCCTAGAGTAGCAATAAAATCCAATTGTCATAATTTACAATTCAGAATTTTACATTTAAAATTTTATCAATAACCCCTGAAAATTAATTGGGGGATAAAAGCAAAATAAAAGTTTAAAAATGAGTAACTATCTTTAAAATGTTGTCACTTGTTGATGCTTATACCTTACTTTTTGCACATACTTCCCTATTTGAAATGCAATAAAAACTCTGGTTAGTAGAACACTGGGATCTGAAGTTGGCTGAAGGCTACAGGGCCCCTAGTCCAGTCTCTTTTACTGCCTTGTCCCAGGTCCTATTGGTTTCAACACAGCTCCAAATGGGATTATTGATGACTTATTTGATAATTCCAAGTTGTAAGGCTTTGCTCTAGCAATCAGTAATCTCATTATCAAATTTTATTAGAGAGAAATACAAGTTGGCTAAATTTCTCATTTTAAAATAAATAAGGGGAAGGAATGAGAGGGAAAGAGGGAACAGCTAACACTAAGCAAAAGGAAAGAAATGTACATATCACCCAAAAGGAAAGAAATAAGTTGTATTGTCAAAGCTTATAGAACTTTATAGACCAAGATAATGACAATTTGCCGTGTGAAGGTTAAAATGTGTTTGTGACTTTAAGTATCACTATCCTACAATATTGTGAAATTTATGTGATCACTTAATCTGAATATTATTTTTTAAAAATCCAGAAAAAATAGGCTAAATTGGGAGTTGGTTGCCAATGCCTGTAATCCTACTTAGGAGAGGCTGAGACCCAGAGAATCCTGGTTCAAGCCAGGCCCTGGTGGCTCATGCTTATAATCCTAGCTACTCAGGAGGCTGAGATCTGAGCACTGAAGTTCAAAAGCCAGCACAGACTAGAGAGTCCAAGAAATTCTTATCTCCAATTAACCACCAGAAAACCAGAAGGGGCACTTTGGCTAGTACTACTTCATCTAAAAGTAAGAGTGTTTACCTTGAGCAAAAGAGCTCAGGGACAGCTCCTGGTTCCCACAGCCAACAACAACAAAAATCTTGGTTCAATGCAAGCCCAAGCAGAAAGGTCAATTGGAGACATCATCTACGACTAATGAACAAAATGCTGGACTGGAGGTGTGATCCAAGTGGTAGCATGTCAAACATAAATAAGAAAGCCAAGATTCAGTTGGATGCTGATGGCTCATATCTGTAATCCCAGCTACTCAAGAAGCTGAGATCTAAGAATCATGGTTCAAAACGAGCCCAGGCAAAAAAGGCCTGGAAACCAGCAGGAAACCGGAAGGGGACTGTGGTAGAGTGCTAGCCTTCAACAAAAGAGCTCAGGGACAGCACCAGGCCCTGAGTTCAAGCCCCATGACTGACCCATCCACACACACACACACAAAAATGAAAGCCAAGGGCAAGAGGCTCTGAGTTCAGGCCTCAGAACTGGCGTAAAAAATAAAGTGAACAGAGCTGTGCACTAGTGGCTCACACCTGTAATCCTAGCTACTCAGGAGGCTGAGACCTGAGAATCGCAGTCCACAGCTAGTCCAAGCAGGAAAGTCCATGTGACTCTGATCTCCAATAACCTACCAAATGGCAGAAAATGGAGTGCTCACCTTGAGTAAAATAAGCTCATGGACAGTGCCCAGTCCATGAGTTCAAGTCCCAGGGCAGGGAAAACAAAAAGGGTCTGACATAGGTGTAACAAACTAGGCACTGGTGGCTAATCCCAGCTGAGATTTAAGGATTGTGGATTGAAGCCAGGTGAGACAGTTAAGTCCGTGAGACTTTTGTTTTGGGTCCGGTCGTGGGGCCTGAACTCTGGGCCTGGGCGCTGTCCCTCAGCTCTTCAGCTCAAGGCTAGCGCCCTACCACTTGAGCCACAGTGCCACTTCTGGCTTTTTTTTTTCTTTTTGTTTATGTGGTGCTGAGGAATCCAACCCAGGGCCTCAGGCATGCAAAGCAAGCACTCTACCACAGAGCCACCTTCCCAGCCCAGTCTGTGAGACTTTTATCTCCAATTGGCCACCAAAAAGCCGGAAGTGGAGCTGTAGCTCAAGTCGTAGAGTACCAGACTCAAACAAAAAGGTTAAAAATAAAGCGCCAGGAGGCTGAGATCTGAGGAGCACACTTCAAAGCCAGCCCAGGCAGTAAACTCCACAAGACTCTTATCTCCAAAGTGGTAGAGTGCTAGCCTTGAGCTGAAGAGCTCAGGGACAGTGCCCAGGCCCAGAGTTCAAGCTCCACGATTGACAAAAAAAAAAAAAAAAAGCTAATGAATAATAACGATGCCCTTGAGTCAAGCCCCAGTACCAGCACAGGGGAAAAACAAATAAATAACAAACCCACAACCAAAAGAATAACCAGCCAAAAGGGGTTGGGATGTAGCTCAAATCATATAGATTCCATGCCTATCAAGCCTGAAACTCTGAGTCAAAGCTTAGTAACACAAAAAGTAAACAACAACAAAAAAGCAAACTGCTTAGAAAAAGATTTACTAAGAATAATAGATACCCTTTGACAAAGAACTCTATCACACCCTCAGCATTTTAGTTTTAGTATTAATCACTACAATAATGTATATTCTTCCTGCTCAGGAAGAGGCCTGGACATGTAGCTTAGCACTGTAGCATTGACAGCATGTGCAAAGAATTAAGGAACAAACATATTGTAACTTGTAAATGCCTTTCTATCATAGGAGTCCTTGAGGAAAATATTGAAAATGAAAGAATATGCAAATTTACTTGGGAAGTTACCTGGGTTGTCGCTTAACTCAGTGAATGAGCTCTGTACCAAAAAACACAACCAAACCAAGAAAGCACCCCAATAAACAAACACACATACCCATATAAAACCAATTACTAACACTTGTATGGCTTATGAGTCTTTTTCCCTTCAAACTTACCATCTGTACACTTTTTTCTAATTCCTGGGGAATTGCAAATGTAGATGAAGGAGCTTGAGTAAGAGGCCAAGCGCCAGCCTAGAAGAAAAAAAGAAGTTAAAATTTAAATAGAGCAACATTTAACTTGAAAGCAAGTATTTATGAAATGTTGATTTAAAAAACTCAACAGCAGGACTACCTAGGCATGCTTAACTTCCCATTAAGATAACACCTCACTCCCAGACGCAAATGCAATCCGGTGTCCCCTTATCAGTCCTTTCTTTGCCTCACTAGGTTTGATGGTAAATGTCCATAGGAAACACTTCATACCTGTAGAACATATATTTGAAAACTAATTCCCAAATCTATTACTGTGTCTTGGTTTTTGATAAAGTTGTTGAACTTATTGTTGAGATCAGCACTGACACTCATATCTGTATACATCCGATGTAGCTTGCTGGTAAACTCATAACCACAGGCTTGCTGCAAAAAGAATAAGTTTTAGAGAGAATGATGAAAAATGACATTGATCAAGAGGCATTAACTTATAAACTGATTTGTTGAGGGGGTAACTCTTTTTGTACATCTACTTAAATAAAAATACAATTTAAAAAATATTTTGGAAATATATACTTAAATGAAAAATAGCCAGGTGACAGTTGCTCACCCCTGTAATCCTAGTTACTAAGGAGGCTGAGATCTGAGGATTGCACTTCAAAGCCATCCCCAGCAGGAAAGTCCATGAGACTCTTATCTCCAATTAACCCCCAGAAAACCAGATGTGGCACTGTGGCTTAAGTGGTAGAGCACTAGCCTTGAACTGAAGAGCTGAGAGACAGTACCCAGGTCCAGAGTTCAAGCCCCACAACCAACCAAAATAAACACATCAATAAGGATGTGTTACTGTATCTAGACTTTCATGAAAATGATTTCCCTCTAAACCTAAAAAAGGTTTTTTAAAACCATGCATATTATAACACTGCAGCAACATTTCTTACTATCTATGGGATGTTTTTCTCAGTTATACAGAATAGCAAATACACATTTAAGTTTACTGGAAGTACTCTAGTTATGGTCAATTTTAAAAACAGAACTTATGCCGGGCGCTGGTGGCTCACGCCTGTAATCCTAGCTACTCAGGAGGCTGAGATCTGAGGATCGCGGTTCAAAGCCAGCCCGGGCAGGAGAGACCGTGAG